TAGGTATAAAATATTTAAAAAACAAAATAAAACATCTCTTCCCCTGTAATACAAGTTCCCCTGCTAATGCCCTTCTGCTTGGAACGCAACTAAACATACATGGTACTCTTCAAAGTTTACAAGTCAACTTGTACCATACCTTTGGAATGAGGTTCATTAGTGCATAACTTGAGTTGGCGCTGATCTGTAGAGAAAAAAAAAAGAAGATATATACATGTACATAGCTGGTACATACATATCTGGAATACCGGTATTTAAACAAAAATTATATTCCCTACCAACAAACAAGTGAAGGAAAAAATCAAATTAAAAACTAAATGGACCTTCAACTGCACGCAGTTGAAATGATGCCTGTGCCATAGAGCCATGTTACAAAACAAAACAGAGGCAATTTTTAAAATTCAAGTTTGATTGAAATCCATTAAAGGTAAAGACAAGTATTAGAAATGCCCCAATTTCAAAAAATGACATGAAGCTCTTATTACAATCATGTGAAAGAATGTTTTGACTAATACATGTACATGATGATAACAATTTTGCTGGGAAACCGCCTACTAATTGATATATTGGTAAATTAGTTTATCTACATGGTCTGTGAGAGATAAACGCATGTGTCGCGCACATGTGCGTATAGTCCCATATACATCTTTCTGTGTACAGTGCTTGTAACTTTACGAAGACTGGGCCAAATTTCTTATCATTTTGATGATTCCAGAACCTTGCAGTACACACCAATACTTATATGCTAGATGATCAACCTTTTCTGATCGATTCCACAACGTTTTCTTTCACAATGCAATCGCATGACCATAATTGGTCTTTACCTTAACAGGTTCTCAGAATATTGTGATTAAAAGCTAATTTATCATATACATGTATGCCCCTTTGATCTTTGACCTCATGACCCTAAAATATAATCAGTTCGATTGATAACGCGATCACAAGTTACCTTTGCATACATACCGTATTTGCCGCGTAAAGGCCGCAGTATTTTTGGGGAAAAAAATATCAAAAAGTTGGGGTGCGGCCTTTACGGCGAAACAGTAAAAAAAAAAAAAAAATGTAAGTCCAAACCAGCACGAATTTGCACATACGGGACTACTATCGGTAAAATAACTATACCACTATGGTACAGGACATTTTCCACACATGTTACTGACAATTTTATCTTGCATTGTTGACATGAAGACAAAAATAAACTTCCAAAAATAACATCTGCCGATAGATCTTGATCTAAGTTCAAGTTCAATGCATTGCAAAAGTAAAAGAAGGGCCCGTTTAACGGAGCTGCCGTGAAGCATCCAGCACGCAAAGTCGCCAATTTCAATCCATTTCAAAGTATACATCAGAGAAAACTGCAAAGTATGGTATCAGTGCGGGATGGCCGAGCGGTCTAAGGCGCTGGTTACAGGTCCCAATCTATATGTGCCCGCAAGAGATCGAATCCCGCCTTTGACAAAAAGTTTTTTTTTTTTTTTTTTAAATGTCGAAATCGGGGGTGCGGCCTATAAGGCGCTGTGGCCTTATCGCCGGCAAATACGGTAATGAGCCCCATGACCTTTGACCTCATAATCCTAAAATCTAATCAGTTCTTTGGCTCTGCACAATACATGTCTTAAGTAATCCGTCCATCGGTTTCTAATGATAATGCGATCACAAACTATTTTTGCATACTTAATGAGCCCTGTGACCTTTGAACTTTGACCTCATGACCCAAAAGCTAATGCTCTGCACAATACATACATGATTCAAGTTTGGCGGAAATCCATCAATCGTTTCTTGAGATGACGGGATCACGAGAACGGGACATACGGATCATGGACAACCCGAAAACATAATGCCTCTGGCTACTTCGTTGCATCTCACTTAAAATATCATCAACACATTTGAATTTCAAGAAGAGAGACAAGATTGTCATTGAACCTCACCCAGGTCTTGGCTCCATTTTCAGCAAGCATGTCTGAGATGAACTTTTGAATGTCATCATATGCATGTAGTGTGACTTCTATTCCTTGGTTGATATGGCTGTGTACTCCAGGTTCTAGCTTACTCTCATCTACAAACAGACTGATAGAAAAAACATATTATGGCCCTGTTTCAAAAGACATTTCATCAACAACAAATAACTATAATGTAGAAAAGATACTGAATCCCTGTATCTAATGTTGTCAGCAAATGTATTATAGAAGTTTAGCAGTTAGTGTTTACATGTACTGTATGTGTATGTTTAAATTACATGTAGATGTACATGAAACATGGTCCATAAAGCTTAGCAAACCTATTTCCTCAACACATTTTATTGCTCTCTTTTTTTCTTAACTTCAGAGGCGTCAAAATCTAATCAGATCATCTTCCTATAGTGATACACCCTATCATCAGTTTTGAAAAACATACCTCTGATGGTTCTTGAGATATCACGATAATGAGGCTTAAAAGAGTAGGTAAACTTTAGCAAATGACATCAAAAGACCTTTGACATACATGTAACCACAGTGTGAATGTCCCCCTAGTGCATCTCTGACCAAAGTTTGGTGATAATAGAATCAACAGTTGTGAAGTTATTTGTCTAAAAGAGTGTGATATGACCTAAAATTACCTTTGACCTACCATGTGAACTTATAGAGAACTACAAAGTTAAGGTCCCAGGTGCATTTTTGTTCTAAGTTTGGTAACATTAGTATTAACAGGTACAAAGTTATTTGTAACATGAAAATCTTGAAGGTAAACTTTAATATAAGACCTCAAATGACCTTTGCTCTTAATGGCATGTAACCCTTGACAGCCTCAAAGCATGGAGGTACCCAAATGAACTATGACCCAGTCTAGTCACAATAGGGTTGACAGTTGCGAAGTTATTTTTTGAAGGTGACGGACGACGAACGGGCAACAAACGGACAATGGACAGATGCTGTTTGGATCCCTTAGTCTCCTCTCCACCTTCGGTTGGCCAGACATTCCTCTTCAGATTCATAGCTCAGGTAGTTTTAGTAAACCCCAAACCATGATTATAAAGATGGATTTATTTGATTTTTACTTACCGTACATGTAATAAATGGTAGGCATACAAGTTACATACTTTTTTTTTAAAGTATCCATACAAGTCTTAGCTCTATTGAGGATATGCAAATACACTTAAAGGCAGGGTATTTTACCAACATTGCTTGCTACCACTGCTGTAATTTTTTTTCAATCGTGCCATCTTTCGGTGAAGGCAATCATACATACTCTAATTAGAGCAATTTCAATTTCCAGTACCCAAGCATCATCACATGCACGTCATCAGTTGCTGATGCATTGTGGGACATTGCTGTCAACACATTGGCACTATTTGAGCAGCAGATGGCAGTATACGTGAATCTGAAGTAGTATCATTGGAAGATTTACATTCCTTGTTATTTTTTTCACAATTACCAGTATGTTGTCTGTATCTAATATGCGTATATGAACATTTCCCAAAAATGTTCAACAAATATTTACAATACTCACTGTACACTATCCTGAGAAAGCACTGCATAAGCAAAGAACACGGGGTTGTATACAATATCTGAACCTCGTAGATTAAATAGCCCTATGAAGAGAATAAAAGAAAATCCTGATAAATATTACATTCTTATATTTGTCATTATACATTCTCTGTCAACAACTGCTATATCATTATTAATAGAGTTTAACATCAAGGTCTAGTGGATATTTCGTCAGACTAGGTATCTCATGTACAACTGCAGCTTTTCAACGTAAGAGCGGGGTCATCTTAAAGTGTGCACTCCTTGGGGGAGCGGAAGCTCTTTGTCTGTAAGATGATCCTAAAATCTAATCAGTTCTTTGGCTTTGCAAGATACATACATGTTTTGACTTTAATGGAAATCCGTCTATCGGTTCTAATGAAGTGATCACAAGCTATTTTTGCATACATAATGAGCCCCATGACCTTTGACCTCATGAGCCCAAAATTTAATCAGTTCATTGACTCAGCAAGATACACACATGTCCTGAGTTTGATAGTAATCAGTTCTTTGGCTCTGCAAGATACATACATGTTTTGACTTTGATGGGAATCCATCCATCTGTTCTAATGATGTGATCACAAGCTATTTTAGCATGCATAATGAGCCCCATGACCTTTGACCTTATGACCCCAAAATCTAATCAGTTCATTGACTCAGCAAGATACACACATGTCCTGAAATTGATAGTACTCTGTCCACCGGTTCTAATGATAATGCAATCACAAGCTATTTTTGCATGTACATATAAGAGCCCTGTGACCTTTGACCTTGTAACCCTAAAATCTAATCAGTTGATTGGCTCTGCAAGGTACATACATGACCAAAGTTTGGCATGAATCCATCAATTGTTTCTTGAGATAAAGCGATCATGAGAACGGGACGTACGGACAACCTGGCTACTTCGTAACGGAGGCGTAATAAGTCATGTCAACTGACATAAAGAAATATTTCTACTATTTACACTATTTTACAATGGAGCATTAAATCAGTTTAGGGCTTATGCATTAAAAAATAACAAAAAGAAAAGAAAGGAAAAAAATGGATCATCCAAACTTAGACATAATGATTCTACAACGTATAAAAAGGTTCTTCAGCTGTATAACGTTTGATCTACATTTGCCACTCTTCAGCCAGATGTAGTAAATGGGTACCTGGTAAGAATTCATTCCTTGAATGCTTCAAGTGCTTTTGAGCAACTGGGCTAAAGCCAGTGTAATAATAGGTGTCTTGAATTCCACCTAGGAGGGATAGATGCGCAATGTTAATATAGCTATTGCTATATTATTATTATTCCTATCATCACTATTAGCATTGCAGGTATACTAATCTTATTTTGCCTCTACTCACATGCTATTTCATCAAGGGCAGTCAGGATAAGATTCTGGACACGAACCTTCGCCATCTTCCTTCTAATCTGAGCCACTTTCTCTGCTGAACTTTGACCTGACAAATAGATAATCTGACATTTTAAAATTGATTTCTATCTATTAAATTCATATCTTGAAATGAGTGACAAAAATGTCATAATGATCCCATAATGCAAAAAATCATAACTAATACAGAATTGCTGGGATCAGACAATATCTTTTTTTTTTAAGTATAAATTTACCCAAAACCATGATATCAACAATTTTCAAAAGTGTTTACCCGTACCCCAATTTGTCCCTCTCAAACCTAGCTGTGTGAAATGAGTGCTTGGCAAAGTTGGGACAAAAATATAACAGCAGAGCCCTCAGGAAGAGCAGTGTTAATATTGATGAGGCTACTACCCTGAAAAGACCATATAGAGATATAGGGTTTGTATGGGTCCTGGAATTGAAAGTGATGGAATTACAACATTTATGGCAATTCATTTGTTATTTTGTCATTATCTTCAGATGTGTAAAATGAATAAAATTCTTTCTTATTACCAGCACTTTGTTTCCATGTTTTCTTTCAAATCTCATCTGAGAATGAGTGACATGAACATGGTTTGCCAGAATGTGAGTGTGTGAATGAATGTATACGCAGTTGTGTGATTTACTGTGTGTCTATAAAATACACGAGGATTGATGTGTGCACTGTGTGCGACATGCGGGGTTGCCGAATGCGATTTGCAATTCCGTATTTTAGGGGGATCCCCTAAAAATACCCCCAAAAAAGTTGAGGTACAGTGCATCACAACAGGGGCAATTCATAGACAGGGCTAATTTTGTATGAATTTTGTATGAATCTTTTAAAATGTTTAAGTTACCATTACCAAGACTGTTTAAGCTTGAAAACAAAGATTAATCACTTGTGAGGACAAGCTGCCATTTTTCCAACTGTCGATCTACCTCAAGATATTTTGAGATAATCCCTTCCTGAGCACAAGTGCGCATGTACTGCTTGCTGGCCTGATATTTTACAGTGCCTGATATACAATATGGTGCAGTGCATGGTATGGTATTGGTATTGACGCTGAATTTGCACGATACGTTTGTACGGGCGTTATTTTCAGAGTAACTGTTACTTAAATTCAAAATGCCAGGAAACTGCCGGTTTCATGATGCTTCGTTAGATAATCCAACATACGGCGAGTGGCTTTTGAAAGTAAGTTCTCATCTAGGAACAGCTAGATGTAGTGTCTGCTAAGGCTGCGACGAGTACTCGAATACTGGGTATACTTGCACTGCTGACAACTACTCAAGTACAATTTCTCGTACTTGAATACACAGTAGCATTTATTTATTTTTTGCCAATTTTTTTGCCAATTTTTTTCTTCTCCACCTGGCAGTGTCGGCCGGCCGAAGCTCACCCGTGCACGAAAAAGCACCGGCAGGGTACGGTGAGTAAAATGTTTCCCAGCTCAAACATACACGGGATGTCACTGTCACTCATCACTCAGAAACTAGGACCAATCTAGCTGCCAATGTCCAGATTTCTGTTTGAACTTGGAGGATAATTTGTCTGTCATCTTTAGTTTTAAAAATAACATTGTAACTATTATTTGTGAGAAGTTCATTAGCACAAATCGACGCCTTCAATTGCAACTCCCAGTAAAATAGAGTGGGTTTTCGTAGCCGGACTATGAGGTGATTCCTACAACGTCGGCAAAAAAAGAAAGAAAAAAAAATATTTTAAAAAATTGTTAGAAAAAAAAAAAAAAGGCCGCCAAGTATTCGCCTGTAAGCCTGGGAGTGTACTCGCGCACCTCATTACGGTACACGGTTATGCACAGCCTTAGTGTCTGCCATGTGAACTTCAACCTTAGCAACATGGGCGAACAGCAGCACTTCGGAGCCAAATGAAAAGTGAGAAACACAAGACAAAACTCCGAAATAGAGGTAAGCTTGCATTTCTTTTGTAAATTTTGCTAATTTTCAACAAAATCACAAATCCACACAATCCAATTTTAAAACCATTCTCTGTGCTTTCTTCACAATTAATTGACACTGCCGTAACAAAGCTCACAGGTAATGGTATGAAGTTAGAGCTTTTATAGCACACGTTAGTTAGCACACCGCCCGTGGCCCCATGGCTAGGCTCTGCACACAGGGATGGGTACGGGTAAGGGACTGATTGATAGTGACAGGGCACGTTAGCTCCGCACTGCCCGTGTCCCCGGCCGACAGCTGGGCTCCGCGGGCGGGTACGGCGCTGATAGTGACACGGCACGTTAGCTCCGCACTGCCCGTGTCCCCGGCCGACAGCTGGGCTCCGCGGGCGGGTACGGCGCTGATAGTGACAGGGCACGTTAGCTCCGCACTGCCCGTGTCCCGGCCGACAGCTAGGCTCCGTGGGCAGGTACGCGCTGATAGTGTCTTGGTGATTCTGTTAGTGATCCACAAACCGAGGCGTGAAGAAGGCAGTCCCTAATACGCTTTCCAATGACAATGTGTTTGAATGGTAATGACCTACACATGGGTGTACTGGGATGTTTGTCAGTAATTGGTTTGATTTGTACATTCATTTACCAGTTTATATAGTTACGCTGATTGGGCTAACACATTGATCACAATTACCAGTGTTAGTGTGTTGCCATGCTATTGGTAACAGCACTTGCATGTTAATAATATTTTTTTTATTGCAATCACACTAAGTTCTCTTTTCTGCCCTCTTTATCTTGTTCTGCAGACTCGACTGTTCTCACAATCAATAACTTCTTCAAGCAAAAAGTATGGAGTGGTTCATCAGTTCCTACCACACAATCTGCAGATGCAACAACAAGCACTAGTGCCCCATCAACCTCCAAAGTAAACATCCTGTTGCTGTTGCTACAAGAGCGGATACACTAAAAGCAGAAATTATGTGGTGCCTGAAGGTAGTTGATGACCATTTATCATTCCATTCCTGTCAGCACAATGACAGCCTATTTCAGAGGATGTTCCCTGATTCAGCAATTGCAAAAGAGTTCCAGTTATCAGAGACAAAATGCAGATACATGACTGTATTTGGTTTGGGGCCTGTTGTATGAAGGTATTAAGACATCCTCACATTATGCCATCCTATTTGATGAGAGTTTGAACCAGAAACTGCAGAAAAAGCAAATGGACACACTTCCAAAAATATGGCAACATGATGAGGTGCGCACATGCTACTTGACATCAGTCTTCATAGGACATGGCACCGCAGTGCATCTGAGAGAAGAACTGACCAAAGTCCTTCAGAAAGTGGGCATGGACATATTGCTGCAAATATCCAAGGTCAGTCCAAATGGTGAACTGGAGAATGTACGAGGACTTCAGTAGAGAGAATGAATCTAAACTTAACCAATCTGTGGAGAGCTTCCTGTCATCACTGTACTATCTCTTCACAGATACCCCTGCAAGAAGGGAGGACTTTCACAGCATTACAGGAGATGATGTCATGCCGCTAAGGTTCTGCAAGACCCGAAGGCTTGAGAATGTTCCTGGAGCTCTTGACATCTGGAACAATGTCATAAAGTATGTGCAGGCAGTCGAAGGGACAAGGTCTCTCACCCATGCAACAAATCATTTGATACTGTACAGAAGTGTAGCAAGATCGCCGTTTTTCCAGCAAGACTATAATATAAAGCTTCTTCCTTTCAGTTGCACAGTTGATGAACCCTAACCTCACAGACTACCTAACAGATGCTCCTATGCTGCCATTTATGGCATCAGATCTTACCAGAGTGCTTGATGCAGAGGTTTTTGAAGCTGGACAAGACCATCATCCATTCTGCTTAACACTTGATGCAGGGGAAGGTGAGCAACCAGGAAATTCACTTGCCTGTCGGCAAAGTCAATTTTGGTTTTTACACAGAGAAGAAGCTGAAGGCTCTGAAAGCAAAGAACATTATCAGTGAGCGAAAGGTTCTTAAATTTCGTCTCGAGGCAAGAACTTTCTTGTAGCCATGACAAGCAACATCACTGAAAGGTGCCCCCTCAAGTACTTACTTGTACAGAATCTTACATGCTTCATCCCAAGAACATGGCAAGTGACAAAGTGAGATCAGTTGAACAATTTAAAAAGGTCCTTTCTGTCCTACATGATTCTCACAGGTTTGATGACTCTTGTGATGACATTCTGAGACAATTTGGTGAGGCATGGGATGGGGCAGCTACAAACCCAGAAATGAGAGACTTTGATTACAAGAAGGAGAGAGTTGACACCGTGTTCTGCAATTTTCTGTCAAAGCAATCTAGCTATGCTGCTTTGTTCAAGGTAGTGCGCATGTGTTTGGCTCTGTCACATGGACAGGCATCCATCGAATGAGGATTTTCTATCAACAATCAAGTAGAGGAAGACAATCTGCAAGGTCACTCACTAGTCGCTAAAATGACAGCCATTTATGATCACATCAGATATGTAGGGGGGAGTCAGAATGTCATTCTTGACAAAGCCATAATGCTGGGGGCTGCAGCCGGCAGGCAAAAGTATCAAATCTATCTTGATGAAGTAAAGGAAAAGGCAAAAAAGAAACGAAGAGGAAAGGGTTGCTGATGAACTAAATGACTTGAAATCAGAGAAGATCAGACTACATGCTGACATAAAGAGTCTTCAGGAATTTGCAGAGGAAGCAGAATCAACTGGACAGTTGACTTGCATATCAAAGTCAAACAGTTTGCGGCGATCTGCAAAAGAGAAGATTTCTAGGCTGCAAGAAATTGAGAAACAGATCGAGGAACAAATGAATTCTATCAAGAATTCATAATGTACATTTACAGTATGTATTTCTGTGAAATATATTTTGTGAGTAATACATCGAATTATGTCATATGTGTAAAATGCAACAGGGAACATGTGTTTTTTCACACTGAGGTAACTTCTTTGTAATTTCCTCAACTGATGATTATTATGTAGAAAAGAGCATGTGTGACTATATCTTTTCACCAAAGCAATTATACCACTTTTCCTCTTTCTTTATAATTGAGCTCTTCCAAAACTTAGAATTTGGGCCTTCTTATCATTAATATTGTACAACATTTTCATGGATATCACAGTGTTTATCCTCTACTCATGCATGAATGTTTTAGTGTGCAACATTAGCCAGTGGGAAAGTCATGGAAAGTCCTGGAATTCTTACTTGAAAAGTCATAGAATTGTATTGGGCAAAAAGTGTGGGAACCCTGCTCGGATAACATCCCGTTATAAAATGCTAAACAGCACCTTTTATAAGATGGTTAGAAGAATCCCTGCAATCTGATTGGTTAATTACTGTGTAGTTATTTTTACTGGATGCACACGATATCAACACGATATATGCGATATTGGAATCGATAACACCGATTTCCAGATTGTTTGCACTTTCTCTCTTCTCCACTAAGGAAAACAACCAAACCCAAAACAAGATGGCAAAATCGCGATTTGATTTTTCAGCTTCTGTAAGAAGAAGAATTATCTAAATTGTTGGATGATTTAGATGTAACTAGCATGAACATTTCAATTAAAGATTAAAGTATGGATTCTCAAAATTGGAAAAGTTTGCACAGATCAACTTAACATCAATTTGGGAGACATTTTTACGCCAGAATTGGACAAACTGTTCATCCAATAATCGTTCTAAACTAAGTTCTATGCTTCTGTACATAGACTGACAGTGAGTTGTAAACCTAGACTTTAGTACCTTCGCTGTGGCATACAACGCCAGTTAGGCCTGACTTTATTTTGTTAAGGTTTAGGCCTAAGTCATTCTACATTTGTTTTAATCCATTGCACTAACAGACAAATTATGCAAATTTAAAAATCATGCTTACCGGTAATTACCGGAAAGCATGGCTATGGCAAAGTCATGGGTCCGGTAATTACCGGAAAGCATGATTTTGCCATGCATCCGGTAAATCTGTAAAATAACAAAATTTTGTATTTTTGACAATTTTTGGGGACCCATCTTATAAAACAGATGATGCACAGGTTTAATTTGTGGGTCGGTGGAATTGTGTGCACGCGGTACTTTTGAATTTGGTCTAAAACCATTCAAAGGTACCTTGTGCACACAATCCCTACCGACGCACTCAAACCTGTGCATCATTTGTATACTATACCCCTACCCCCAGGCAAAACAAATACTGTATAATCTAGTGCGTAACACATTTGACCAACCTGTGAAGTGAAGACTGTGAACTTTGACCTGAGCCTGTGGTGGAAGTGGCCTGTCAGCATCCCAGACCAGATCAACAAGGTTTGATTGGATGGGTACAAGTGAGTGACCAGCGCCCTCTAGTGTGCTGGAAAATGTCTTCCAAGATTCTACGAGCATGGGAGATATCAACCAGATGGTAAGAAACATTTGTTTGAATTTTTTTTTAAACATTTTAGAATGTCTTTTTATTGGGCAAGTACAAGGAATTGGTCAGTTAGTGGCCCATATGTTACCCAGTCTACTAGAATATTGAACATTTTTAATTACAAAGGTATTAGTTTTCTTGATAATTAATCTGATCTAAGCTTTAATATGGCTAATAACTTGATATGATCATTGGCTGTAGTAAAATCTTTAACATAGTCAGTAGCATACTGGAAAAATAATAACCCAGACTTAGCCTATTATAATCATGTAAATACATTTTGTTTACAAGTGATATAGAAATTACCACCTTGTTGAATTTAATTCATGTAGCTAAAGCTTCCGTCGCAAGAAATACTATTCCCAAAACAAGAATGGAAGAATTCCAGATAATACCCAATATCATGATTATCACAGACAAAAAGATAATTTCTATACAAATCTAGGTGAAAATTTTCCAAATTGTATGCTTTTGCAGAGCTCTTGCACTCTAAGACACTGATCAATACATCAAGATATGCAAGATAACAATAGATGTACACTACATGTATGTGAATTCTAGTTCAATTTGAAATTAAATCAGTGATATATTTCTCTGGAATGCCAGTATTCAAGTCCCTGTAAAATAATGAGAGTTGTTTAAGAGTAGTTTCTTCGGATGTATTCAAACAAGTTCACATGAATGGCACACTAAAGTTTTTTAAGTATTGTGATGTGGAATAAACCGACTGTGTATAGGTGTACCAAATATAAAAACTTCTGAAATAGCCAAGGCCAACCATGATTCCCAACCTAAACTAACTTTATATGGACGATTCTATGCAATGTGTCCTGTACGACATATGTCCTGAAGCCACATAAACATAAACGACCCCTCAATAGGACCATTGAGTAATGGTGCTTTCAGGTATCTCTACCATTAGTCAGTTAAATCAAGGCATTTTCATTTGTGGAATTACGTTGTACAGGGCACATTGCACAACATTGCCCATATGCTGTGTGATGGGATTAAACCTACCCCATCTAAAAAGAAAGGGATCAACCCCAACTTTAGATCCTGCTGGCAAAACCTGTCATGATGAAAAGAGAAATGAATTATGATAACAAGATCAAATTAGATTTATATTGTGAAAACTATTCTTATGAATGAAAAGGAAGGAAACACATTTTTCCTGCATTGAGAAAAAGAAGGTTTAGCAAATACATGTAACGGTAAGCATATTAAAAGACAAAACGGGGTCAAACGGTTGTACGACACATGCTCCTGCACTAACCAAACTCTTAACTTCAACACTATACATATCCCTAACCCTACAATGTATACCTTTTGATTTTCATTTCATTCATTTTTCATATCGTTTATTTCCATTTCCAACAAAATAAATAAAGTACATGGGATTGCATTGTACAAAGTAAAACAATGAAACTTAACAATATATTTGTAATTGGTCCACAGTGTACAACAGGCATATAAAACAGGTTGGTCATGGAGGGGACTGCTGAAAGGCTGGGCTTGTAGATTGCAGCCCCCTATAACTTACAGTTGCAAAAATAGTATATCAATAATAAAAGAACGCACAAATACATAAACCAAATAGACATAACATAGAAGGAGTGAAAGGGACAGGGAAAGAAGGGAGACAAAGAACGAGGGAGGGCAGGGCTCTTACCTATAACACACACAAACAACACAGGCTGACTGGAATACGGAAGGCCAGTAAAAAATGAATCAAAATATCCAAATTGTATTTTATTGAGTTAAATAAATTTAAAGAGGGAGAGCTAACGCTTGATAATTACGCAAAAAAGACTTTTTTATTTTGAATTTAAAAGAATTTAAACTGGGGGCATTCTTGGTGCTAACATCAAGAATGGTCCATAGCTTCGGGCCTGCGTAAGTGAATATGGATTTAGCAAGTAAAGTTCTAGTTAATGGCAGATGAAATTCGTCAGATTGGCACGTAGGGTATTTGTGTATAGTTTTATTTTTGATGAACATTAAATTGAAGGCTGAGGGTAGCGTATTATTATTTAACTGGTACATAAACTGTCCGAGGCTATAATGATATAAATAATTTATTTTCAACACATTATTTTCAACAAATAAAACGTCAGTATGAGATCTCCAGGAAGTGTTACAAATAACACGCATAGCTTTTTTTGGTAGAAGTAGTATTCTATGAAGATAAGAATCGTGTGTATTACCCCAAACAACAATACCGTAATTTAAGTAGGGCAAAATTAATGTCGAGTAAAGCATTAGTAGGGAGGAGGTTGGCAGAAAAAAACTTAACCTTATTTACAATCCCTATATTGCGAGAAATTGTTCGGCAATGCTATCAATATGACATTTCCATGAGAGTTTATCGTCTATTATCAGACCCAAAAATTTCATTGAAGTGATGGCTTCTATGTCAGTATTATCTAGTTTAACATTATGTGGTAAGTTACCTATAGAATTGCTGAAGAGCATACATTTTGTTTTTTGTAAATTTAATGACAACTTATTAGCTCTTATCCATTGTAACAATTTGTCTAATTCAATATTTAGTGTATTGACCAAAATATCAGGATCTATGTGAGAAGAGCACATTCGAATCATCTGCAAATAAGAGGAAGGAAAGGATATTAGAGGAATTTCGGATATCGTTTATATAGGTAATAAATAAAAGTGGGCCAAGTAGACTGTCCTGTGGAACACCACAATCTACATCTTGCATAGAAGAAAATTGGTCGTTAATACACACAAATTGCTTGCGGTTCGTTAGGTAGTCTCTGAACCACTCCAAGGCCCTACCACAAATTCCGTAATTGTTCAATTTGTAAAGAAGTATTTTAAGATCGATGGTATCAAAGGCCTTGGAGAGGTTCAGGAAAACACCCACAGTATGCTTGTATTTTTCAATAGTTTCTGTAACTTTTTCAACAAGGGTAAGTAAAGCATGGGATGTACTATGTTTTTGGCGAAAGCCAAACTGAAAATGAGAAATTATGCTGTTTTTATTCAGAAAATTTAGAAGTCTTGTATATATTATTCTTTCCAGAATTTTTGAAAGAGCAGGCAAGAGAGAAATTGGTCTAAAATTACATATATTATCCCTTTCTCCTTTTTTGTAAACCGGTATAACCTTAGAAATCTTCATACAATCGGGAACAACACCGCTAGTCAAAGATATATTGAATATATGCGCCAGCGGATCGACAATGTAGTTTATGACGTTTTCAATGCCATCTTGTCCAGTACTCTTTTTATTTTTCAAGTTTTGAACTATATCTATTAATTCATTTCTTTGTACGGGGACAAAAAATAGTGAATTGGGATTTGGCTGGTCTATAAAGTCTAAAAATTTCTTTTGCGTTGGAGAAATTTCCTCTGCAAGGCTATGTCCTATTTGAGAGAAATATTGATTAAAGGTGTCGGCTATCTGCACTGAATCGTGAATCTACGTTGTTATGTTATTTTTTCTATACGCGATTTATGGTTATGCTTAATTATGGCACTATTTATGATTTTCCATGTTTTACTAATATCATATTTGAATAGAATCAACTGATTTGTAAAATATTTTCGTTTTTCAATACGTAATATTTTAGTGAGAATATTTTTGAAAGTGCTATATTTACGGTGAGACTTTTCAGAATGCTGAATTTTGCTTGCGTAATATAAGTTGTTTTTTCGATTGATTAATCTTAAAATTGGTTTGGTTATCCATGGAAGTCTGGAACTCTTTTTATAATTAGAACATTTGTTCACTAATGGATGAAATAAAGCCCAGACCAATTGTTGGGTCATTGGTTCAAAGGGCCAATGGGGGCAGAAGCTCCAACATTTTAATTGTCCAAGATATTTTTGTGAAACAAATAACTCTAGAGAGTATTGCACATCTTATGATACTGAAAGACTCACACAAGAAAAAAATAGTCTGACATGATTGTTGACTTGAGCTGCACTTTTTTTCTTTCTTTTTTTTCTTCAAAGTGACAAAATATCAAATATTTCATACCCAATTTGGAAATTTTCCATAACGAAAATACATACATGTAGCAATGTCTTCCCCTAAAAAAATAAATAAATATCACTGTTTCATGAATCACTGTTAGAAAATTTTGGAATAAGTTTACCAAATCAATATTTAAATACAATGTACACAGAGAATATGCATTCTGACATAAATCTCTCAAAACTGTTTTAGATTTAAGGAGACATTATAAAAATACAGTGTCTATGGTTGACACAATTTGACGACAAACGATAAATGTTTTAAAAGGAGAAGAAAAAAAATAACCTATGAATTCATACATTGAGAATCTGTGTTAAATCCAAATATCTAAAAAAAACACATCAATATGGGTCAAATGACTTGAAATAATGTTAAAGGGGAAGTCCACCCTGAAATTAAGTTAGTTTTAATAGGAGTAGAAAAATGAGAGAAACAAGTCGGTGAAAGTTTTAGCAAATTCCGATTAAAAATAAGGAAGTTAGGATTTTTGAAGTTGTGATCAATCAAACACAAATTGGCAACTCTATGACGTATCATGCGAGCTCAACTTCCATTTGCTCAGTACTAAAAAAATCTAAAATTTTCATTTTCCCTCAAGAAAAATTTCAACCATACATGCACCCTAAATATAATAATTGCAAATATGTTTCTATACTCCCCCTGCAAGGAACAAAAATATATTCCGTCATCAATAACGAAAAAAAACATGATTTTATGGAATATTATGCACAAAGCAAATGAAGGAGAGCTCGTATAATAAGTCACAGAGTTGCCAATTTGTATTTGATTGATCACAACTTCAATAATTCATAACTTTCTTATTTTCATTCAGAATTTGCTCAAAATTTCACTCACCTGATTTTCTTATTATTCTGCCTCTATCGAAACAAACTTATTTTGGGGGTGGACTTTCCCTTTAAGAGAAAAATGTACACATACAAAAAAGTTGAATAATCACATCAGTTCTTTTGACACATTTATAGTCCTCTTTGTAAAATAATTAAGATCAACCCCATGATCAATACAATCTGAATCTTACATTCTTTTCTTATTTTTATCTTAAAATTCAACACGATTGCAAATTTTGAAATTTTAGTCTTTTTCTGTCCTTTTTCATGTGAAGCAACAAGTGCAAATCAAAATAATAAATAGGTGCACTAATTAGTTCACACAATAGACCCGTTCGTAGTTAGCATATAGTTCAGATGACCCCAAATATCCACAGATATTTTTAACATACAGGGTAGATAAATCCCACTTTGTGCCTTTTGGAATAATTCTTGTTTGAACTCTTTAAAAGATTACCTGTGTTTAATAGCATGTATCACAAGTGCATGATGATTACATACTAACTTTCGTGGGCATGTATCCAGTATTAGTCTCAGTGGATTTTACAATTTGGTACAAGTGATTGTATCTATGAACTGGTCTATTGACATGCAACTAATAAATTTGATGGAAAACTACATGACAAAATGGTCGAAAAATGTTCTTCTTTCTTTTTCTGTCTAAACATTTTTTTTTAAACTGACAACAATTTCTGATCTTTACTGACAAATTCTATGAAATGTCCAAAAGTTTCATTATACCATAAATCTTTCACAAATCAAGAATTCCCTCAATAAAATATTGTCACAACCAATGTGGCGATGCAAGGTAAAATGGAGAAATGTTCAAATCAGCATGTCTTTCAATTATCTATCAATTTTGCAAACATTAGTTCTCCAAAGTCTGTATAGTTTGTAACCCTGAAACTACAGCTTAATCTCTTTTTATGGTGATAGGCTTAAAGCTAAAGGTACATGTAAAGACCAGTTTTGGAAACCCCTCCATTTCAAAAATGAAATGGAAGTTATTATTACCAATCATGTGAAAGATTTTTAAATGCTCTATATCGTCTCAGCATACGTTTCAGGCCATTTTGAGCATTTCTATAAAAATATTTAAAATCGCACACGCGCAGACGTCATGGCCGTACGCAACATAGAATCACTTTTTCTTTTCTTTCGTGATATTCCCCATTTTTTCCAAACAATTTGATACCATGTTTATCCCTTGATGACCATTAA